CCACGGCACTCTAGCCCAGTCAAAAGAGTGAGACTCTGTCAAATAAATAAATAAATAAATAAATAAATAAATAAATACACTTATAATGTTGGCAACCATCACGACTATCCATCTCCAGAATTCTTTTTATCTTGTAAAATTGAAACTCTGTACCCATTAAATGATAACTCCCCAATCGCCTCTGCTCCCAGCCCCTGGCAGCCACCATTCTACTTTCTATTTCTATGATTGTGACTACTCTAAGTACCTCACATAAGTGGAATCATACAATATGTGGCCTTTTGTGACTGGGTTATTTCACTTAGAGTAATGTCCTCAAGGTTCATCCATGTTGTAGCATATGTCATAATTTCCTTTAAGACTGAATAATATTCTATTGTATGTATATATCACATTTTGATTATCCATTCTTCCACTGATAAACACTTGGGTTGCTTCTACTTTTTAGCTATTGTGGATCGTGCTATGGCATAGTTGCACAAATATCTCTTTGAGATCATGCTTTCAATTCTTTTGGGGATATATCCTGAAGTGGAATTGCTGGATCATATGGTTATTCTATTTTTGTTTTTTTATGAACTGCCATATTGTTTTCCACAATTGGCTGGACCGTTTTATATTCCTACCAACCGTGCACAAGGGTTCCAGTTTCTCCACACCCTTACTGATACTTGTTATTTTCAGTTTCTTTGATAATAGCCATCTTAATGGGTGTGAGGTGGTATCTCATTGTAGTTTTGATTTGCTTTTTTCTAATGATTAGTGATTTTGAGCATCTTTTCATGTGCTCATTGGCCATTTGTATATTTTCTTTGGAGAATTGTCTATTTTAGTCCTTTGCCCATTTTTGAATAAGGTTTCTTGTTTTTTGTTATTGAGTATTAATCACTTATCAGATATATGATCTGAAAATATTTTCTTCCATTCTGTAGGTTGCATTTGTACTCTGTTCATAGTGTCTTTTTCTGCACAAAATTTTTAATTTTTATGAATTCCAGTTTGTCTATTTTTTCTTTTGTTGCCTGTGCCTTTGGTGTCATGTCCAAGAAATAATTGCCAAATCCAGTTTTCTGAAGCTTTTGCCTTGTTTTCTTTTAAGTATTTTATTGTTTTAGATCTTACATTTAGGTCTTTGATCCAGTTTCAGTTAATTTGTTGTTGGTATTAGGTAAGGTTTGATCTTCGTTTTTTTGTCTGTGGATATTCAGTTTTCCTAGCATCAATTGTTGAAAAAAAAAGTCCTTTCCCCATTGAATGATATTTTCTTTCATCTCTGAGTATTTTCTAATTTCCCTTGTATTTTCTTCTTTGATCCATTTGTTGTTTAAGAGTGTGCTGTTTAATTTCCATGAATTTGTGAATTTTCCAGTTT